AAATATTAATTGTTGACTATTTTCAAAAAAATTTCATCATCATCCTCGATTTTTCACAACGTTATTTCATTTTACTATAATTTTCATACTATTCAAAAATACTATAACTTGTTATCACACATATATTAAACTTTTTAAAAATGTTTAAATTTTACCATACAAAGTTTTAAAAAACCTAAAAAATTTTAATTAGTAAAATTTAAATATTTAACAATTAAAAATACAAGGAGACCAACCAAAAAATGGGTCAATCACATCTCTTAAAAGGGTATTAAAAAAATTAAACTTCATGTTGAAAAATAAGTTTTTCCAACCCATTTTTTTAAATGAATAGTGATTTATGAAATTTAGGTAAATAATATGAAAAAATATGTCATTTGAGTAATTATTTATGTTATTAAAAAAATGTCAAATTTAAACCAAACTAATAACTATAATTAATTGAATTTAAGTCAATGTCAGACACCATAGAATTGCTCAACTCACTGTGTTGATTGCTTCCATTCCACTTTTTTAGCCACTATAATGCTTCCAACCCCACAAAGCCATGTTTCATTTTCATGCAATAAAATTATTAATACCGAATTTGTTTCGTTCTTAATAATTGTGAGGAAATAACTCTCCCTAAATCAAAATTCAGATACACAAACTTTTTTCTATGAGCTTTGTAATTAGAATTATTTAAAACAAATCATAATTATTTTAGGTGTTTTTAAATGTCAACTTTTTTTTTTCTTTTTTACAAGTGCTCCACCCATTCAGACCCACTAATTACAAGTCATAGTCACCCGTCATGTTAAAACTTTGCGTCCACCATGGACTAACTAAAAGAAAGTTTTTAAGATAAATGCTATTTTCTTTCTATGAATATAAATAACTTATATTATTTTTATATGAATATGAATAGAACGAGAACTTAATCTGATTAAAATAATTTAGATCTAATTAAATTAAATACGTATTTTATTTATTTATTTAAATAAAACAAACCCATTTGCAGTGAAATGGGTTAATAAATATTTAAAAATGAAACTTTTTTATACATAAAAGTTATTATATATATTTTTAATTATTATTATTATTATTATTATTATTATATATATTTATTTACACAGTCGTAGTGGATTCTGTAGCCCACAATAGTTACAAAAATGAAGATGGGCCTTTTGGCTTTGGGTCTTTTGGCTCTGGGCCTTTAGGCCTTGAGAAGGTCATCTCATATTCTGGGGCGCTCCTTATGAATACGAAGACAATGTTTTATAGAAGTTTTATAATATTTTGTATATACACATGTTAAAAATTGTTCCATCAAAAAGTTTTTTTTTTCAATTTTATTTTAATTTAACATATAAATAAGAACTACTCATCAATCAAAACTATTAAATAAAAAAAGGATGAAGCGTAAATATTTTAAAGCTATTTTTCAAGTAATTTATTATATAATTGGAAGTGTCTTTAAGGAAAGGAAACAAGTTTGTCTTTTAAATGATTTTTAACATAAAATTTAGTTTACCCTAAATATAATTTTATCAAATGTTTTAATTAAAATAACCATCAACTTTTAACTTTCAGTTAACTTCAAACTTAAAACCTATTTTATCTACAAATTATACGAAACAAACACAAAATCAATTTAGGAAAGCACACATCAATGATTTTTCTTGATGAAAGATTTTTTTTTTTTATTACTATAGTTAAGTGAAGTTTTCTTTTGAAATACTTCCAACATGAACAGTGGAAGTAGGAAATGTCAAATTTATTATGTTCTTAATGGAAAAGAAAATGCCAAACGACAAATATTATCTTGTGTATTGTGCCATGAGATGATGGGTACAATTTTCATCACATAGTCACGAATCTCTTTTACTTTTTGCATTTGTGTTCCATGGACTCAAATAAATTTGACCGGTCAACCAACATGTATGACCCACCATATTTGGAATCATTCTTTTTCAAGGTTGTGCACTTTCATTTCATGTATGCATTCACAATTGTTATCAAACTATTAAAACAAAAAATAAGACTAAATTTCACATTATATATATATATATATATATATATATATATTTATAAATGAAAATATTTATTATAATATTATTATTATCAGAATTTTAATATAATTTTATCTTTAAAAATATGTCTTGTTTAATTAGAAAAAAATATAAAAGTTATATTTGACCTTGACTCCTCGCAATTATTCACTAATATGAAAAAAAAACATGAAATGGTTGAATATTAATTTTTCTTTTAAGTAAATAGTAAATTTGATCTTTTAAAAAATTTCATTTAAAATGAAATACTTTTTTAAGGAAAAAACATAAAATTATAAATTTTATAGAAAATAGGTAAAGAAAAATAAAATAAAAAAGCTGGAATGAAAATCATGTCAAATTCTACCTTATTATTTTATTTTTCCTTCATTCATTCTTTATATAATTTTTTATATAAAATTACATATATAATATTAAAAAATATATCTTTAATTACATGAATAAATTTTAATTTATTAATTAATATATTTTTAAATAAATTGAAAATAATTATTTATAATTAATAATTTAGATTTAATTAATTATTTTTATATTTTAAAGTATAATATTATAATATATTTATATATTTTAATAAATAATAACAAAATATAATATTTTTATTTTTTAAATTTTAATATATAAATATTTTTTAAATCGATAGATCAATCAGCAAGCGGAATCTCATCCTTAACCTACCAAATTCTAATATTAAATCATTCGGACAAAACGAGTTAGAAACTACAACCAAACTGCCCCACCATGAAGCTGTGCCTTAGCTCATTTTGCCTTCATGTTATATACGCATGTCAAGATATTGTTCTTGCCATCATATATCAACATTCAGCAATGGATATCATTGATACATCTCAGTGTACAAATTTTTGACCTAATGGAGAATAAAACAAGACCTTTTGGTGTTACTGAAAATAATTTTTTATTTGATTATCCTTCATAAAAAAAAAAAAGATATACATTGGTTTTGGTGTGAACTGACTACAATATGGGAAATAATGTCTCTGGCAGTGAAAACAAGACCTTTTGATTGAATAAGTGTGGGAGTTAAGACACGTCACTTATAATTCATTATGATCAGATTCAGGATATACAAGGGACCACGAACACCCAAATTGAAGGACCAAGAGTCCCAACAACCCAAGTAAAGTAAAAATTGATTGATCAATGGAGTGTGAGTGATGATGAGTAAATGGTGAGGTGGCTAATTATGCGTGTAGATGTATGTAAGAGGCACAACGTGTTCCATGCAACAGATTAAATCAATAAAAGAAAGCAAAAAGGGGTGAACAATAATATTAGTTTAGTGTGAAAACAAGTGAATGATTGATTATCATTAATGCACATAGGAGACGTAGGATCCGACGATGACGAAAGTGAAGATCCTCTTTCAGATTCCTCAATGTTAAAAAAAAAAAAAAATACTAAATTTACGACATTTCTTGATCTACCTTCTCTTATCAAACTCTAAAAATATTATCTTTTAAAATTATAAAATACTAACATAATCTTAATAAAATATTTTTATCTATATACTATTATATTACTATTTATTTTTTAATAATATATATCACTAAAATTAACTTTAATATTATTTTTAAAATAAAATATCTAATTTTATCTTATTTAATAAGATAAAATTTATATATTTTTATATATTATAACATAAAATAATGTTTTTTATTTTTAATTTAAATAAATTTAACGGTGTCTCCAACCATGACTACGCGTCCACATCACTCAGACATTCATCAAAGAACGTAAAGAATAATTATTGTCTAATTGTTGGTTATGTGGGTTCCACCTTGTCACACACACCCCAAAAAACATCTACATTCTTGCCCCCTTCTTAGACCAAATCTTTGTTTTTCTTCATGTCTGATTATGATGCTTTTATTTTATTAACTAAAAACACAACCTGGGTAGTTTTTTTATTGCAAAATAAGGGGTTCAAATGTTAGTTAGAACTTAATAGTGAGAATCCACAGTGCACGAGGTTTAGGATTGGAGGCTGAGAAAATCGGCTCTGCATGATAAAATTATTGAATGATTTGAACCACTAAATAGTGATCATGTTATTTTATGTAAGTGACGGTGGATGCGTGGTGGGCCAATTAATAGTTGGGTCCACTGAGCCACTACTGGGAACAGGACAAGACTGAGGTTGGGGTCGTATGAAACCGTTGCAGAACAATTTGAGTACAATTGCTTGAATTTGAATACTTACTTTCTCTGCGTGCAAGTTATAACCTAATTCATCGACCACATTGTACGACAAAAAATAAATCATTAGCCCCTCTTTTCTCTCTCTCTCTGTGTTGGAATGGTTTGCTTTATATATAGAGAGACAAGTCCTTTGGTTTCCATTATCATTCCTCACTTTGCATGAGAACTTCTCTTCTCCCTAAGCTATATATCTTTATCTTTATTTGCTATCACAGTTTTCCTTGTTTTTTTGTCCTTGTACCCCATTAGACACGCAGATAGAAACCACCCACATTCACAAAATCAGGCCGTTTTGAGGTTCCAACCAAGGAGTGCTTAGTCTGAGTCTGATTGTGCAGATGGATCCATCTAGTGGACAAGCCCAGGTTGGAATTAGGATGCATCATGCAAACACTTAAATGGTTTCATTAAAATTTTCAAATCATAATTATCCTCCATACTTTTCCTGTTTGATTCGTGCGGTTTATAGTTTTGAGATAGTTTTGAAGTATAAGCAAGGAAATCCATCTTAAACACTGGACAACTGGTTTTGATACTTACCCTTGATGTATATATTTGACTGAAGAATTATTATTTTTATCTTTTATAAAATGTCTTCGATTCCCCACAGGTGCTTGAGGTTTCCGAATTGAACTCTCCTTTTCTTATTATATATGTATGTTGTGATGCAATGCAACAACTATTTCATGATATATCAGTACTCATAAAATTTTATATATTATGTTGCAGCAAATGTCTAGTCAGTTGGTGGAGAAGAAGCAAAGGCCTCATCCAGAACAAGCTCTGAAATGCCCAAGATGTGACTCCACCAGCACAAAATTTTGCTACTACAACAATTATAGTCTTTCTCAGCCAAGATATTTCTGCAAGTCTTGTAGGAGATATTGGACCAAAGGAGGAACACTGAGGAATGTTCCAGTGGGAGGAGGATGTCGAAAGAAGAGATCATCGTCGTCGTCATCATCATCATCAACAACTTTAAAGAGGGATCGTGATCAGGCATTCACACCCAATCTTAACCCAAACACTACATTCCCTCAGTTGTCTTATGACTCCAATGACTTCACTCTAGCATTAGCTAATTTTCAAAAACAATCATGTGGGCAATTGGGATACAACGACCATGGTCATTCTATTTTGGGAAACCCCACAGGCTCCTTTTGTGACATTCTTAGCAATTCAGGCATGAATTCCTCCTCATCAAACCCTTCATTTTTGGACGCAATTAGAACTGGGTTCCTTGAAACTCAAAATCATCTTCAGAATTTGTATCATGTGTATGGAAATGGAGACATGGGGGAGGTGGATAATGGCAATTCTGGTGGCGTTGGGGTCAGTGTTGAGATGATGCTCCCTTATGATCAAGTGGTGGGCAATGCAACCACTCAATCAGTGAATGCACTAATGAAGCATGAACAGTGTGGTGGTAGTGAACAAAGTGAAAGGAAGGTATTGGGGGGTTTCCCTTGGCACCTTAATGCATACACAAACATTGATGAAATTGATCCAGGAAGAGCAATTGCAAGTTGGAACAGTTTCACATCTTCTTGGCATGAGCCTCTCCATAGTCCCCTAATGTAGAGCCCCCAAACTGCAAGAAAATCATAGGGCACTTATTTCTTCTAATGTGTTTTACTAAAATATTAGCCTCTTGAGTAGTTTTGGGTTAATTGGGATTTTATTCACTAGGATCCTTTATCACATTTGTTTGCCAAGCATGACAATGAAATGGAGGGTATAATAGAACAATTATTTTTATTGTTTTCTTTTTTTTACTATTTTTAATACAAACTTTTCAAAATAATTCGAAACAGATTAAAAGGGTGATATTATTATTATTATTATTATTATTTATTATTATTATTAAAAGTAAAAGTAAAAGTAAAAGTAAAAACAGTTATCCAATTCACTATACAAATAAAATTTATGAATTAAATTAAACAGTGGGAATATAATAACAAGATTTACTATTCATTACGAAAATAAAAGAACATATATTCTCATATATTCTAAAATAAGTCCAGCTATTTAAAAAAAATAAAAAATTGTCAGGAGTTCGTTTGAAATAGAACTTTCGGTGACGCATGCGCCCACATTCGAATAAACTTGTCTGTCTATCTATGCCTTTGACAGACCAAATCCAGCGTACGATTTGGGCGTGCGAAAACGGTCAGACGTCAGTTTGACAACTATGACTGTCAGAATGAATCAGTAACAGTCTAACAAATACTAGAAAACAAACATATAGTATGTAGTTATTTTATTTGTTAAGAACTTAAAATATATATGAAATAGAAATAGCCTGTTTTCATTTTAAAAACGAGGCTTAAAAGCACAAAAAACACAACCAAACTAGCTTAGAAAATTATATGACTAACATTGTGGTAGTTTGTTTACGATTACTAATTTATGTAAACAATTTTTTAATATTTATTGTTTATTTTGAGGAACTCGTATGTTTCCTCCAGAATTTGAGTCATCCTTTCTAGCAAATTTAATGGTATTTCAAAACAATAGAGTCTCATGTTATTTAGTTTTATGTTGATTATCATCATCATCATCTTGTTTATAAAGCTTTCAAAGTGACAAAGGTGTGGAATCTAAATTGGGCTTCTTCCCTTTACACAAACTTGCAACTGGGATACTTGATTTTTCTTCTTCTTCTTCCTTTTCTTTCTGGGCCTGAGAAAGAGACGGGGCAGTGATGGTCCACCAACCATATCCACCGTTAGCATGTTTGTGAATATCTAAGGTTTGGGCTTCAAATTCCCAAAACAAAAAATGAAAGACACATAAAAGCTCAAAGAAGCCCATTTTGAACCCAGCGTGAAAGAAACATTGAGAATATCTGGTTCTTAGACTTCCTTCCTTGATTACCTCTTGAAATGGGATAAATGAAGAGAATGTTTTAAGTTGCAACTACTTAGGTTTTGTTTGGATAATAATTTTTTTTTTAAATTTTAATAGACCAATATACAAAATGAAAAATAAAAAGAATAAATTGCTGTCTTGAGAGTAAAAACATTTGTAAACTTTCCTAACTAAAATCTACGCATGCAGTTTGGTTTTGCGAGAATTTCCATCAAATGGAGAAGAAAAAACTTGACACAGTATCAAACGATACTACCAAGTCACAAAGAAAATATAATTTCATGGATTTTCTAGATTGTGAAATGAGGGATCATATAAAAGGGCTTAATTAATTTTACTACAAGGCAACCGTAGTAGACAATGTTCACCAAACAAGGAAGGGTATTGATCAGACAAAATTGCATAACATAAACATTACAGCAACATAAGATTATATTGCACTACTACATATTAGAAGCTGATAATAAACCAAACAGTGACTATTTTTGAGGTTTCCTCCACAAGACGCCAATCTTCTTCAGCATGTTCCCATTTTTCTTGGTTTGGAAATCATCATCAAGTTCTTCACAGAAAGGTGAGTACTTATTCATTATAGAGTTATAGTTGTTGTCTAAAGACATTGATCTTTCAGTCAGCTTCCCATTGTTCCCTGCTGAGAGCATAGCGGCAGCAGCCTCTGCAGCCTTCCTCCATTGATCAGACTGTACCTTCAATCTTCTCAGTTCAGCTTCTATTATTGAATTTGCTGCCTGAGATGCTTCCAGCTGCTCAGCCACCCTCACCGCCTTTCGGTTGTTCCTTTCAGCATCTTCCATCACAATACCAAGTTTCATAACAGCCTCACGTTCCGCAGCCTTAGCTGCCTCAAGTTCTGCAACAAATTCCTCCCCCACTTTACCACCATGTGCAAACCTCTTACTGATCTCCAACTTCAGCATTTCATTCTCTTCAGATATGTTTTGCAATGTTGTTTCCTTGTCCATTAGATCACCCTTCAACTCAGCCACACATTCATCTAGTTTTCGAATCTCCTTTTTAAGTTGAAGTTCTCTTTGGGATGACATGCTCTTTTCAAGCTGCAAATTCAACTTCTCATTCTCCTCCACAATGCCCTGCAACTCAGTTTCCTTATCCATTAGGTTAGCCTTCAAGTGTTCAATGTCAACATTCTTTCTTTTCAATTCTGCCTCTAGCTCGGATTCCCTCTGGCTTGATTCTGATTTTATCTGCTCAATCAACTCGTAGGCTTTCCTGAGCTTCAATGAACACTGAATCTGTTCTTCCTTGTACTTAATCTCAGCAGTCTCTATGGCAGACCTCAGAGAATAAATTTCTTCTTCAATGCGATTAGGAGCCTCACCCTTTTGCAATGTATCAGTTTTCAGCTCTATGTTCCCATCATCTGCAAGATTTAAAGAATGGTTGCATTTGTTACTAATGAAGCCAAACTCAAGTTTGCTTACTAGTGTCTCAAGCGAGTCCACCCGTGCTCTAGATTGGTCTAACTCCAAAGCAGCAGAGTTGTAGCCATGCACAGCTTTTGCAGCATCAGCTCTCAGGAACTCAACAGTTCGTTTTGCAGCCTCAAGTTGCCGCAAAGTCTCATTGACCAAAGCTTGTGCCTGACCTGACTCTTTAGAATCCCTGAGTTGATTTTTCATGTTCTCCACGAGGGAAAGAGATTCTGCCAAGTTATCCTTCAAGTTAAGTAATTCCACGTCTGACGATTCTGCAATTTGGGTGTGTGCATTCTCACAATTAGCTACCAATTCAAGTTGAACCTTTAGCTGCTGAATTTCATCGATGGCAGAGGTCAGTGCATCAGTGTTGTCTGAGAGTTTCTGTTGGGCAGCCTTGAGTTCGGATTGCCACGCCTTATCATGCTCTTCTATAGTTTTCTGGAGCTCGATAACACGAGCTTGTTCTGTAGCAGAGAACTTCAGAAGTTGCTGTTGAGAGTCTTCAAGTTTTACAGATACGGCAACTAGTTGTTTCTTGGACTCTTCAGCATCTTGCTGAGCTTGTTTCTTGGATGAGTCGGACAAACTGAGCTGGTTCCTCACAACTTTCAAATCCTCTTTGAGTTGAGAAATCTGAGATTCTAATTCAGATATTCTGCTAGGACGCTTCCTCTAAAACATCATACGATTATAATGGTTTATAATTCTAGGACAAATTTCTAGCTGTTGGATAATAGTAATAAGGTATTGTGTAAAACAATAAGGATTAGAAAAGCACAAGTACAACCAAATAAGAAAACAATAGAGGCTCACTAGCAACCTAATATTTCACAAGGCCTGAATATACAATGCAATCACATACATTATATAGAACCAGTGATAAGTTATTACATGGCAGCGAAGTAGCTTATTCTACCAACTCCCTTAATGTATTCGAATACACGAGATGCTCAAGAACAGAATCCTTCAAAAAGGCGACTTTAATATCTATCTAACAGATAACGTGCATTTGTACAGGAATTAAGTGCCCACACTATTAGACGCCCCATTAGTACGTTCTCATTAGCTATATCAGTATATTGTCCAAGAATATTAATAAAAATGAGAAGTAAAATTTAAGCCAACTTTTTTCAACTAATTAGACAACAGTAAACACCACCTTTTCCCAAAAAGCAAGCCTTGAATGATATAAACATAATCATAAAACATCCTACTACAATTTCGGCAAAAAACAAAAGCGCTTTTAGTAAGCATAAAACTTGATTTTTTTTTTAAGATAAAGAAAGAAACTAAAAACAGATTTTTTGTGCTTGTTACCTTCACATAAAAGCACTTTCAAATCAAAAGCAACTGTGATTTTGTTACACATATAAAAGAAGTGTCACCTACCTCTGGAGCTGGACTTCTGGGTGATCTGCGCTCGGTGATTTTGGGACTTCTATTATCCTTTGAAGTTTTGTTAGCTTGGTTTAATGAAGATGCAGTGTCTAGCGTAGCAGGCCTGGGTTGGCGTCCACCACGAGGGGACACTTTCTGAGGCACTTCAGAGGAGCTACTTCTGAAATCATAATATCTAAGCGTTATGAATTATGATGCTCAAGTAGCAAAAGAAGATGCATTGGTATCTGGAAACGCACATCTCTGAAGTCTAGCAATAAAGACCAGCAATAAACGCTTTGCTATATAAAGCAAAACCATTTCCTTGATATGGTTTGAATTGAACATAGAGTAGAGTGGATGCTCCTAAATCCAAACCATTCGACAGATTTAAACAGACAAATTGCAGAGTTAAACCCGAAATTACAATTACTTTTGCTGTAATGAGTAATTGAGTAATAAATACGTGATTAATACTCCTTAAAGTTAAAATCAAGTCTTGTCAGAAGTAACGTAAATGTCATTAGCCATATAATTAATTCATTCAACTTCAAAATTAAAACTTTCTCCACGCATTAAAATCCTTATTATCATTATCGATTTACATGGTAATAAATATTCAAATTTGAACTTTAAAATTCCAGGGATTGCCGAGAATGTTATTCTTTCATATATATATATATATATATATATATATATATATATATATATATATATATATATATATTGTCACCTTTTATCATCGTACCATCAATGATAATTAGCGACGGGACTGTCTGGTGGTTTTTGTTCCGTCCAAAAAAATACAATAAAGTGGTTACAAAAAGTGACATGATAGCCATTTGAAAAAGATAGTGATGCAGTGAAATCAATTCCATTTAGAAAAACAAAAACTTTTGATCCCAATATTATGATTATAATTACAATTATTAATTGTAATTGGGAATAAAAGCCCCGGATCTCAATCTTCCATTCCGCAGTTAACGCCGCCTATATAAAATCATTAGTCTTTTGAAAAAGAAATGAAAGAACTAAACTCCACGACAAAAGCCCAACAAACATATTTAATGTCAAACTTGGGTTTTTTATTAAGGAATAAAAGAAAAAAAGAGAAAGACAAGCAACATAATTTAAGATTCTTACTAAGTTACTACTCAGATTACAGAATAATGTTCAACACCATAGCTAATAGCTTGATATGAAAATGACACGAACTTTGTTAGGAAATTTGTAAAAGAGGGGAATGTTAGAAGGTGACTCGAAGAGGACAAATTTGAATAGTCGAAAAACATTTTCTTGTGCTGGTGCTAACCATGTGTGAACAAAGTTATATACAGTTTATGCATTAAAGCTTTATATCCATGAGCACAGTATGTTCCAAATGAGTAGTTGATATTTGAATTTGAAAGTATGAGAATTGAGAAATGCCACACCATAATTTAAGGTGAAAAATCCTATTGATTTAGTTTATCATAGCATTTAAACATCCCAATATAATTTTGAACAAGGAATGTGCAGAAGCAATTGAAGCTTACCTTGTCTTTGGGGTCTGCTGCATGGTTTAATTGCCTTGTATTCCAGGAAAGTAAAAGGGGTTAATAGGACCTTGCTACTTGAATGCTCCCTGACCCACAAGGACTATAACAGTTCAGAAAAATATCATTAACTGATGAGACAAAGGAATCCAATGTGAAGTCAATGAAGTTGGGGGAAAATAAATAGGTTCATGCAGGATGAATGCACTCCTAATCATCATCACATATCAAACCATAAATGCACAACAGTTGCTTCCACCAATTTTCACTTTTTTATGTTTCTATAAAAGTTACTCCTTTATTCTTCCCCTTTTAGACCTACTTGAAGAACATATATCTAAATTTGAAAACATCACTTAAAAACACTACTCTGGTATGTTTGGTTGGTTACCGATTGAAATGAACAAAACTTACATCAACGTGAAAAAATAAAAAGTACTTATTTCACCGTTTTATGTTTTTGGAATGTGTATAAAGTTCATTTTGCATTGCTATATCGTAATTACGCTATAAAAGACAAAGTGTCTTTTTATTAGCTGATGATTATATGAATGACTATATATTTGAGTAAAAAAAATCCCAGATAATATTTAAGAGGCACGTTCTACTGACAGGACCGAATTACAGACACGACCATATCTTCATCTTCTAAACGACTACGATACCCATTTTGCCCATATATGTGAGCCACATCCCATCTATGTAGTGTGGGCAATTTTGTAATTGCAGTGAAAAAAAAAAAATCTTGACCTCCCGTTTAGCCTTGGAACAAGGGCACTGGCAGTGCCCATCCAATGAGTTACACATTGTCATGTTCTTTCCCATAATATTTTCAATGAGAAAACATCATCATAAATAGGAAAAAATAGACAATGATAACATAGATGAGTGAATTTTATATCAAGTTGATATATGTGTGCTTGGTGGACAATCGACATTGAACATGAAAACACCAAAGTTAAAAAAAGGGAAAATCACTTCATGTAAGGTCTTTCATTTATTTAGAACAAAGGAATAAAATCTAGATAACAAACGAGAAAGAATCGGCAACACCATAGAATCTGCAACAAAAGTAGGTAATGGAAGATCCATCTTTTGAAATTAAAAATGAGAGTGAAGGAAGCTCTATTTAGAGATATATTTATTAAGCATGCTGAAAAAAAAGAGAGGAGAAACAAGCACGAAATTAACTAACAAAGAAAGAAAACAAGTACATAATGGAATCCAATCCAACTCCTTTAATACTACAATCTTACATTCTAAACTGAAAAGGAACAATATTTTATCTAATTCTTCTGTTCAAAACACATTTGCCTTTGAAAAAGTATGTTCCAAACATAAAGCAACAAAACCTTGCAGCTTCGAAACAGAGAACCGCGTTAATGCCAGTTTTAACGTTAGCCTAACTTTGCAATTAAACAAATGATTTAGCAGTTTAAAGTGAAAAAAAAAGCAGTCAAAAAAGAAACGCAGAAAGAGCATCCTAACATCATTAATAAACTTTTAATTTTTCCGGAAATTAAGAAAAGAAGAGCCATTTCACAATAGTAAGAAGAACAAGGGGAAGGAGGTGAAGAAGTTGAAACCTTATAAGGAACAGAATGAATCACAGTGATGAAGGAGGAGATCTTGTTTTCCAGAGTGTGTTAAGTGGCAATTAACCTGGACAATAAGTAATTAGCAAGATACTAATGTTTATGCACTTATCATTATAATTATAAGAATAACCAGTCTCATACGTTTTTTTTTTAATAGAAAGGACAATGCAGAAGAAGAAACGACATAATAGGTTGAGTGAAAGACACATACCCCGAGTGTAAACATATTAACTCAACGATGAATGTTTGTTGAGTTTAGGTGGTTGCTAAGTTTTTGTCCTCTCTTGAGTGTGTGTTGGTGTCTGCTGCTGGTTCGGGTTTGTTGTAAGTAATAAGAAGCAGCGTTGAGGTAAGAAGAGAAACGCAAATGGATTGTGAGAGGGGAAAGAAAGAACAGACAACAAACATATATATTTGTCCTTTCACAACGTTAATTGCTCTCTAGTACCAGCTTGCGTCCGCGACTACCATTTTATTCACAAACTATAATTTATTTTAGTGAGTTTCTTCAACATTTATACCCAAGGAGTTCAATTATTTTATAACTATATTATTAATACGAAATATATACTTCTTCTTAATACCTATTTTTCAAACACTTTTTTAATAGATTTTTTTCATTTTCAAGATATAAATGAAGTCTAGGCATTGTTCATCCAATATCATTAATAAGATTATATTGAAACATGGTTCGAGAATGGTTCCATTTATTATTTAGAGTTGTGTCTCATATTCTTTTTTAGATTGGATGAAATTTATATATATCAACTTTTTTAATTTATTGAAACAGAATTATAATTCTAAAACGAATAATATTTTATATATAAAAATTGATTCGGATATGAAATCGAGATACACTCTATTTAAATTAATCAAGAATAATTTATTTTTATTAAAAGAATATTTTTGCTTTATATAACATTCTGTTTCTGTCCCCGTATAAAATAATGTATTTAGTAATTATAAATTCTAATTTTGAATCATTATTCTGTAGCGTAGTTTTTTTATCATTTACATTTTCATTTTTAATTAAAAAATAAAAGACTGCATCATTTTAATTCTTTTAATAAATTTATGTGAAGTATTTAAATTAAAATAAGAAATATTTGTATTCTCACTTATAAATCATGAACTCGTTTCATACTTCTTCTTTTTTTAAGAAAAATAAAATATAATGTAAAACATATATGGACCCTGACAGTGGACTCTTTTGTTATTTTGATGTCCAAATAAGGGTATATATATATATATATATATATATATATATATATATATATATATATATATATATATATATATATATATATATATATATGGTTTATATAACTTATTTATTGTTTTTTTAATTATAAATAAAAATTTAAAATAATAAAAAATTAAATAATTGAATAAAGAAAATAATAAATAATTAAAAAATCGAATAAATAAAATAATAAAATAAAGAGTATTAATTATTTTTTATTGATATATTAATTTTTTTAATTGATTTTTTATTTTTATTTTTTCTTTTTACTATATTTTCTATATGTTCTCTATAGGTTTTTCAGAAAATAATAATAATAATAATAATAATTTTTCATTAATTACAGTATAATTTTGACATATTTTACTCAAATAATATAATCCTACTTTACATAATCTTCAATTGTACTTTATTTTCTTAAAAAAAGTATCAATGTTTATTTTTATTTTGTTTTTAAGAGTGAATAAAGTTTTTATTTTTATTTTTAAATATAAATACTTATAAATAAATAAAAATTAAAAGAGAACAAAATAAATTAATACAATAATAAAGTAATAATAATTAAGAAATAAATAAATAAATAAAATAATACAATAATATATATATATATATATATATATATGATATTTCATGATCAAATTTATTAATATAAAACTGTTCTACAATGTCACTTTTTTACAATTAAATTCTTTCAAATTTTGGTTGTGATACTGCAAAATTTGCTGTTAAATTATAAATAGTATCAATAATAACTTCGATTTGAATTTATCCATTTCTTCTATTATTTGTACCATTACTATATCATTATGTGTGAGGATATTTTGTAAGAAACAACTCTAAGTCTATCTTAGGTTAGAAAGAAAATCAGTGTAATATAATAAAAAAATATTTATATAAGGAGGAAGTGATATAATAAAGAAATTATCATTTAAAAATAAAAAATTAATTAATTAATAATTACTTACTCTATATATATATATATATATATATATATATATATATATATATATACAAAATAAAAAGTAACATATTTTCTATTAATTTTTTATTATCCTAACAAAATTTATGTTTTTACTTTATATTTTCACTTCAAACCAATAGAACTAACGGAAACCAACTTGTATACACCAACCGGACAGAGCCTTTTTTTTTCTTATACTTATTTATTTATAGTGAATAAATATAAATATATTATTAGGAAGGAAAAAAAAGTGAAAGATAATATTTATTTCTATCTTTATCTACTCTAAATTTTGATTTTTATTTATTTAAATTTAAATTTAATGATAAAAGTTTAAATATAAATTCGATCAAATAAAACTTAATTTACTGTCACACACACACACACACATATATATTAATTATAGGATGCTACAATTTAAAAATAAATATAATAACACTATGTAAAACAAAAACATAATATCTCACAGTCTATATGAAAAAAAAATTAAGAAAATGTTTACCATTATAATTTCCAGTCAACAAGTAATTAAGAAATGCTTGTGGATGTTATAATAAGCATTCATGTGAACACAAAACATAATATAATTAGTGGAAGGAAGCATAACAAAGAGTGAAGAAATGAGAGAAGAGAAAGAAGGTAAATGATGCTGAGAGGAAGCAACAACTTGATCTGTCTACTAAACTTCTTTATCTTGGTGTTGTCAGTTCCAATCCTGGGAGGTGGGATATGGCTGAGCACCAGATCCAACGGCACAGAATGTCTCAAGTTCCTTCAGTTGCCATTGATCATCGTAGCAGTCAGCATCATGGTGACTTCCTTAGCGGGTTTAACCGGTGCTTGTTACCGCAACAACTTACTCATGACCCTCTACCTCGTTGCCCTGATCTTCATAATGATGGTGTTCCTCGGATTCATCATCTTTGCCTATGCTGTCACGAGTAAGGGTTCAGGAAAGGTGACACAGAACCGCGCTTACTTGGAGTATTACCTGCAGGATTACCAGGGTTGGTTGAAGGAACGCGTGGCAAGTGATAAATACTGGACAAAACTTAGCTCTTGCGTTAGAGACTCTAAAGTTTGTGAGAAACTTGGGAGAAACATTAATGGGGTGCCAGAAACTGCAGACATATTCTACTTCAGAAACCTCTCCCCTATTCAGGTAATTATTTTTCTTTTCTTTTATGTAGAAAATAATACATACATATACATACATATATATATATATATATATATATATATATATATATATATATATATATATATATGATTTTCTTTTCCAACCTTTTTTCTTTAAATATATGATATGTTTTTTTTTTCAAATTTCTTTTAATCATGTCTATTTTTATAATATTTTAGTTTAAATATAAAATAATAAAAATATTTTTATTTTTTTATTTTCTTAATTACACGTTTTTTTTGTTTTTTGTTTTTATTGATATTCTATCTTATATTCATTTATTTCTAATCATTCATAACTTTAAAAATAAATAATTATATTTTAAATTAATATATATTAATTTTTAATAAATAAAAATAAAAATATAATAAAAATACGAATATATATATATATATATATATATATATATATATATATAAATATATACTTGTTTATATAGAGAGATAGGTTGATAGAATAAAATTTTAACCATTTATTATTTTTAGAAAAATATATGTTTTGAATTTTTTTAGTTTTTTTAAATTAATTTTTAATTTTTATATTTTAATTTTCCTTAAATTTTTAAAATATCTGTGATTTAAAACATTTTTTATACATATTTTCAATATTTAATATTAATTTTGTATGTATAGAGTATAAAATAATTACATATAAATTTATTTATTTATTTTTATATTTAAAGTTATTATTAATAATATTTTTTAATTTTGATAAAAAATTATATTTGTATTTTTTTAACTTATGAGCTAATAATAAATATTTAAATATAAAAATCAAAACCAAATTAAAAAAATAACGAAATTTTTTCTAATTTTATGTATATTCAATATTTTATTGATTATAACTTTTTTGTACTTCTTCTATAATATTACTTATATAAATTGATGCTCTTTCTTCCTTGTTTAAAAAAACATGAACAAAGTTAATGGGGGATTATCATATTATTTATAGAATACTTTGAACTCGTCTATAATATAATTATAATATAGTGGTGCTTATCAGTTATTACTTCCTTCAACGTGTTAAATTAAAATTTGAATCTATGATTAGTGAAATATCAATAATAATGACAGCTTGCACTTTAAAAAAATTCTCTTACTTGGGCCTTATGCCTAATGAATTATCTTAATGAATACTAAACAATTTTTACATTCAAATTTTGTTTTAAATTGTTTTTTTTTAATTAATCTTGAGATGGTATTGATTAATTAAAAATAGACTTTTACTTTAATATCCAGCGTCAATTTTAGTTGTATAGATTATTAAAAATGTAACTTTCATTTTAATTGTTTAGGAAATATCTAAAAAGTAAAAGTATTTTTTTTCTCTCCATTTGTGTCATGGAATTAAAAAATTCGCATTTAAAATTTTGTAATTTGCTCTCAACTAGCAAATGAAGTCAATGTCTCATTTGGAATTGGGCTCTTGGACCTTCAACTACGGTCCAATTTCTAAATCTGGTTTTATAATTGACTCTTTCAAAACGAAACATTTTCTTATACAGAATATAAAGTAAAAATGATTAAATGAATAAACGGAAAAATATTTATAATTATAATTTTTATTATATTATATGGTTTGATGTTAATATTTGCAGTTCCGTTAAATATAGCTAAATTTGATTTTAACCTTTTAATTAAATATTTTTATCTAAATATTATGAAAAAAAATCCCATGTCCCTAAATATTTTTTTCACCAAATTTAGTTTCTTAACTATTATTTATCTATGTTTTTATTCATATTTTTATTTTTTTCTCTTTTACAACGCAGGTTGTGTTTTGTGAAAGTTGAAATAATTATATTATTTCAATAATCAAATATATGCATTATGGATTATTATAATCAAAATTAATTTTTGTTTTCATGAATTTGTTAAAAGTGGTTTTAAAATAAATATTTTTATTTGGATAAAATACAAGTTTTTACATAATAAATTATGAAGTTGAAAGAAAAAAAATGTTATTTTTGAAAGAGAAAAAAAAAGAGAAAAATATTAAGTTGTGTACAAAAATATTATTTTAATTTTAGTGACATCATATTAATATTGTTGTTACAAGTGATAGATTTGACTGATTTTGGGGTCAAATAATATATTATTAATAAATAATAAATAAATATATAAAAAAAAGATAAAATTATAAATATATACTTAAATATATTAAATAATTATTAAATTTAAGGAAGATAAAATCATAAATTATATAAAAATTATAAAATTGATAAAATATTGAGAAAATAAAATTATAAATATACAAATAAATATATTAAATATTTATTAAATTTAAAATTATTAAAATTATAAATTATATAAAAATTACAAAATTTTAATAAAAATGACCAAACCTGAAAAGAGTATCCGCCTGCTTTCTACGTCTTCCTCACAAATTTTGCAGCTTTTATAATGAATTGACAAAATTCCTACCTTATCAATTTTTGGCAGACGAGACACCAAACTTTGGTCCATGGGCTAGTGCTGGGTCCGCAAATGCTTCAATCCATGCCCGATCAATTGGGCCACTAATTAAATCAATAAAAAACTCTTCTGACTTTGATTGCGGGCCATAACATCAATAAAAATAATACAAAATAAATTAAAAAAAAAGTTAATAAATAAAGAAAAAAAATCATTAAGCTACAAATTCATCATCTATGTTTGTGTTTACTTGTAGTCTGGATGCTGCAAGCCCCCGACAGAGTGTGGCTACAGTTACGAGAACGAGACGATGTGGAGCCCTGGAAGCGCGGTTGTGGGAAGCAACCAAGACTGCGGAAGGTGGAGCAATGACCAAACCTTGCTTTGCTATGAATGTGACTCTTGCAAGGCTGCTTTGCTTGCTACATTCAAGATACGTTGGAGAAAGGTTTCTCTGATCAATATCGCTCTGTTCATTCTCCTTCTCGTTCTTTACATTGTTGCTTATGCAGCGTATAGGAACAATCGCAGGATAAATAACTGCGAACCCTGCGGTCAAACAAAGATCACGAAGGCACGACCTACCTAGCACAACACAGTTCTTCTCTCCCTTACCTACTTGCAATGCAACTATTTCAGGGGTGTGCCATTGATTGAATCTTACCGTGGTTTATGTGTGCCCTAGTATAGTATTCTTATGTTACTATTTTGCTTTTGTATCCTAAACTTGTTAACTTTAATTTGGGTTGATCTTGAAGGTATGTAAAATATTTTTGTAACCATTTTTTATGTCATTAGAAAAAATAGTTTTTTTTTTTTTTTTTTAAATGTTATACACAAACTATGAATAGGTATATGGTAAAAAGACTTTCCACCATATTATGTAACCTTGATCCCAAAATCAGATTCAATTGAAGAAATCTTGTGTGAGAGAGTAATTATCGGAGATAAAACATATTAATTGAAGACGTGAGAAAAATGTGATTTGCGTAATTGACCTAAGACAAAATCTGTTTCCTGAAAACTGGTCCTTTTGTCTATGTGGTCCAAAACAAAAGAATAATAAATAATTAATAATTTGGTCTTGTGAATTGTGATTATGCTTTTGCATTGGTGCGCACTCTACAAAGCGGTGTGAGAAAGGTGACGGCGACGGAGGAGCATATTGCACCATTAAAAGCTACACTGAAACCCTAAAGCCACTCAGCATCACATCCTTCTTCAAGAATGCCAATGGCGTATTGCATATCTCACTTCCCCAAGCTCCCACTCCTCCCTTCCCTCCCTCACTCTCCGTCGCGTTCCTCCAATCTACTCCCATCGCCGAAACCTCTCCCTCAGAACGACGTCGTTCCCAAAACCCTCCGCGCATGCCCTCCCTCGCGCGTAAAACCAACGCTTCCGGTTCGATGCTCGAACGTCGCCGTTGCGGAACCCGCCTCCAAAGTCGGGAAGCGAACGGACATCAAGAAGATCCTAATTCTCGGCGCTGGGCCCATCGTAATCGGCCAAGCGTGCGAGTTCGACTACTCCGGAACCCAGGCATGTAAAGCCTTGCGCGAAGAAGGTTACGAAGTGGTTCTCATAAACTCTAACCCTGCAACAATCATGACCGATCCCGAAACTGCGGACCGCACCTACATCACTCCCATGACGCCAGAGCTCGTCGAGCGCGTCCTGGAGTCCGAGCGCCCCGACGCGCTGCTCCCCACCATGGGTGGCCAGACCGCGCTTAACCTGGCTGTTGCCCTCGCCGAGAGCGGCGCGCTCGAGAAATACGGCATTGAACTCATCGGCGCGAAGCTCGAGGCAATCAAGAAGGCTGAGGATAGAGAACTCTTCAAAGAGGCCATGAAGAACATTGGAATTAAAACCCCTCCTTCCGGCATTGGCACCACGCTCGAGGAGTGTCTCAACATCGCCAACGACATCGGGGAGTATCCGCTCATTGTGCGGCCGGCTTTCACACTCGGCGGCACCGGCGGCGGAATCGCGTACAACCGTGAGGATTTGGTGGAGATTTGCAAGGCTGGGCTTGCTGCTAGCTTGACCACCCAGGTTTTGATTGAGAAGTCTCTGCTGGGGTGGAAGGAGTATGAGCTTGAGGTTATGAGGGATTTGGCTGACAACGTCGTAATTATTTGTTCCATTGAGAATATTGATCCCATGGGCGTTCACACCGGCGATTCGATTACGGTTGCTCCTGCGCAGACTCTGACGGATAAGGAGTACCAGCGGCTGAGGGACTATTCAATTGCTATAATTAGAGAGATTGGAGTGGAGTGCGGAGGGTCTAATGTGCAGTTTGCGGTTAATCCTGAGGATGGTGAGGTGATGGTCATTGAGATGAACCCCAGAGTTTCCAGGTCTTCAGCTTTGGCGTCTAAAGCTACTGGGTTTCCCATTGCAAAGATGGCGGCGAAGTTGTCTGTGGGGTATTCTTTGGATCAAATACCAAATGATATCACTAAGAAGACACCTGCTAGCTTTGAGCCATCTATTGATTATGTGGTTACTAAGGTAAACTTGGTCGTTGATATTGCTATCATCAAATATAAATATACACCAATGTGGCTTGGCCAGATGTTTTTAATTTTAAATTTTTGTTTAGGTAAATGACTCACTGCTTATGTAATTAAAAAGTTATTGAGTTTATATGACAAACTAACATTAATTTTATGGGGTAGGGCATGTTTATATTGTCACAGCATGTCAATGGCAATAATATATCATACCAAATTTGTATTTTGTGTGCTAAATTTTGGGAATAAAATTGGACTTACTTTTCACATGTGATTTTGTGGTGCAGATTCCTCGGTTCGCTTTTGAGAAGTTTCCTGGTTCTCAGCCAATATTGACGACACAGATGAAATCAGTTGGAGAGGCAATGGCAGTAGGGAGAACCTTCCAAGAGTCATTTCAAAAAGCTGTGCGCTCTCTAGAATATGGATACGCAGGATGGGGGTGTGCACAGGTGAAGGAGTTGAACTATGACCTGGAGCAATTGAAGTATAGCCTCCGAGTTCCAAACCCAGAGCGCATCCATGCCATCTATGCTGCAATGAAACGAGGGATGCAGATTGATGAAATATTTGAACTGAGTTACATTGACAAATGGTTTCTCACGCAGCTCAAGGAGCTGGTTGATGTGGAAAGTTTCTTGCTATCGCACGATTTGTTGGATTTGACTAATATTGATTTCTTTGAGGTGAAGAGAAGAGGGTTTAGTGATAAACAGATAGCATTTGCAACTAAATCTTCCGAGAAAGAAGTACGGAATAGGCGATTGTCTCTGGGTGTTACTCCAGCATATAAGCGAGTTGATACCTGTGCAGCGGAATTTGAAGCTAATACTCCTTACATGTATTCTTCTTATGATTTTGAATGTGAATCGGCTCCCACCACGAGAAAAAAGGTCTTAATTTTGGGTGGAGGACCAAATAGAATTGGTCAAGGGATTGAGTTTGATTACTGTTGTTGTCATGCATCCTTTGCTCTTCAGGTTTGTTTTCTTTCTTTTATTAATTGGATTACATTCCTCTTCTTTTTTGTTTTGAACAGTTTTAACTAGGGTGCAAATGGTGCTGATACCGCATCATAATGATCCAATTATGATATTAAGCCTTAATGATGAAATGTTGAGTTTAAAATTTAAACCGTGTCCCCTGTCTATGATCAGCTTGGTGTTTGCATTCAATTGTCCATGTTTTGTTTTGCATTTCAATATGATTGGAACTAGTTCCTACTAAACTTAACAGTTGCCCATGGTTATTCTGAATTTTGTGCTGTTGTTGATCTTTTACCATATTTCACTCTTGTCTATTTTGCAGGATGCAGGATATGAGACAATCATGGTGAACTCAAATCCTGAGACAGTCTCCACAGATTATGACACTAGTGATCGTCTATACTTTGAACCCTTGACTGTTGAAGATGTTTTGAACATTATTGATTTGGAAAGGCCTGATGGTATCATTGTACAATTTGGAGGTCAAACACCATTGAAGTTATCTCTCCCCTTACAGCAATACCTAGATGAACAAAAGCCTGCATGTGCTAGTGGTGTTGGTCATGTACGTATTTGGGGAACATCTCCTGATTCCATAGATATCGCTGAGGACAGAGAGAGGTTCAATGTGATGCTTCATGAACTAAAGATTGAACACCCAAAAGGAGGAATTGCTAGGAGTGAAACTGATGCACTTGCCATTGCAGCAAACATTGGATACCCAGTTGTTGTTCGGCCTTCTTATGTTTTGGGTGGTCGAGCAATGGAGATTGTGTATAGCGATGATAAACTGGTGACTTACCTTGAAAATGCTGTTGAGGTGGATCCTGAACGCCCTGTATTAATTGACAAGTATTTGTCTGATGCCTGTGAGATTGATGTTGACGCACTGGCTGACTCACAAGGCAATGTGGTCATTGGTGGGATAATGGAGCACATTGAACAGGCTGGGATACATTCTGGTGACTCTGCCTGCTCAATTCCCACCAGAACTGTTCCATCTTCTTGCTTGGAGACAATCAGGTCGTGGACAGTAAACTTGGCTAAACAATTGAATGTCTGTGGGCTCATGAATTGTCAGTATGCAATAACTCCATCAGGGGATGTATTTTTGCTTGAGGCCAACCCTCGAGCTTCTCGTACGGTTCCATTTGTATCAAAAGCAATTGGCCACCCATTGGCAAAATATGCTTCCCTTGTCATGTCTGGAAAGACCCTCTATGATCTACAGTTTACAAAAGAGGTCATCCCTAAATATGTGTCAGTCAAGGAAGCAGTTCTTCCTTTTTCAAAGTTCCCAGGCTGTGATGTGTTTTTAAGTCCCGAGATGCGAAGTACTGGTGAGGTCATGGGTATTGACCCTTCATATAATATTGCTTTTGCCAAGGCTCAAATTGCTGCTGGCCAGAAGTTACCACTTTCTGGTACTGTGTTCCTTAGCTTGAATGACTTAACAAAGCCGCATCTTGAGAAGATAGCGAAGGCTTTTGTTGAAAATGGTTTCCAGATTGTTGCTACCAGTGGAACAGCTCATGATCTTAAATTAGCTAAAATCCCTGCGGAAAGAGTGTTGAAGTTGCATGAAGGGAGGCCTCATGCTGGTGACATGATAGCCAATGGAGACATTCAGCTGATGGTGGTAACCAGCTCAGACGATGCACTTGATCGGATAGATGGTCTGGCCCTGAGGAGGATGGCTTTGGATTACAAGGTTCCTATCGTGACAACAGTTAATGGAGCCCTGGCAACTGCCGAAGCAATAAAGAGCTTGAAGGCCAACTCTATCAAAATGATCGCACTTCAGGATTTCATTGATGGTGAATTTAAAGAGTGAGGATGTGTTTGCAGACAACGTCCTTTCTTTCGCAAATTGTTAGGCAATAGACACCAGTAAGCACCTCCGTTTTTTCTCTGTATTTGGTACTACTAATTTCTGCTCTTAAGTCTTATGGATACGAAAGCTCAATTATTTCATCTGGTTTTTGAGATAAATAAATTATTTGGGATGTGACATGGTTTTAGATTGTTCTCCTTCACTAAAGCATATATCCCATGGATCTAAATTCTCTCCAGCGATCCTA